CAACACTCCAAGGAACTATTAAAGGAGAACTATGGGGTCAGTGTTTTTCCCCATAGTTCTCCTTAGGGTAACGGGAGGACACAAACTAGCGTCCTCCCGTTACCCTAAGCTCTATATACCGTGAGCTACAGCTCGCGGTATACTGAGACGCCGGAGCGGATCCCAACGTAAATGACGGGATCCACCCAGCTGCGTGAGTGACAGGTGGCTCTGCCTATCTAGAGGCAGAGCCAGCTGTACCCGCCCCCTCCCCCGTCCGTTACGCCAGTCAGCGCTGGCAGATCGGAACGGGGAGAGGGGAATCCAGCCCCTCCCCCTGTCACGGCAGAGAGCAGTGACAGGATCGAGAGGCGAGCGAACCCGGTATGTGTTCGCTCACCTCCCGATCTACTGAGCCAACCTGTGACAGTCTCATTGTCACAGGTCGGCTAGAACTATGAGGTGAGTGGAAATCGCTCATCTCATAGTTCTTCTTTAAGATCTTATCACCAGGCATGAAGGAAGCCAAGGAGGTGACTCATTATACCAGAATCCAATCACTTTTGGATGAACTATCCCTTTTTAATGTTCCAGGATTTTGATATTTCTTGTGTTAATTCTTTCACCATTATAAGAACCATTTTCAAAGTAAGGAGTGACTATTCTGATTGACAGTAACACTGGAACATTGTGTATTGGCTTGTTCAATAACTGTCATTGCTGCAGATGTAGTGATATTACGGATCTTTAGCTGACATTTCTCTTGATGGTGTCCGATGTTCCTGGCGTATAATGCACAGCACATGATTCTGGCATATGACGTGATCTTTACAGCCTCCCTTGCTGATCAGTAGTGCTGAGCAATGTGTTGGCAGCAGTTATCTCTACAAGTATCAAGATACATAGACACAATTCCATTACATAGTTACATAGTCAGGTTGAAAAAAGACACAAGTCCATAGAGTTCCACCTATAGAGATAAGGAAAAAAAAAAAAAGAGAAGAAAAACCTAAACAGAACGCTATACCCACAATTACACACTGTTGATCCAGAGGAAAGCAAAAAAAACCCTATAAAGCATGGTTCAATTTGCTCCAACAAGGGAAAAAAATGTCTTCCTAATCCCATAGGCAATGTGATCAACAATCTCTGATGCCTAATATACCTCTAAGAACTCAATATCCAGTAATATTCTGTGCCTTTAGGAATATATCCAGATGTTTTTTAAACCAATTAACTGAGCTAGCTAGAACTAGCTCCTGGTGGAGTCTATTCCACATTTTTTCAGCTCTAACTGTGAAGAATACTTTCTGTGTGCAACAGTTAAACCTCTTTTCCTCCAAACGGAAAGAGCGCCCCCTTGTCCTTTTGCAGTGACTAATTTGGCACCAAGCTCTTTATATGGACCATTTATGTATTTATACATTGTGATCATGTCCCCCCTTAAACGCCTCTTCTCCAGAGAGAACAAATTCAGGTCAGCTAATCGTTCCTCATAGCTGAGCTCCTCCATGCCTCTTATGAGTTTAGTCGTCCTTTGCTGCACTTTCTCCAATTCCACAACATCCTTTTTGTCAACTGCTGCCCAAAACTGAACTGCATATTCCAGATGAGGTCTTACTAATGCTTTGTACAGGGGCAGGATTATACCTCTATCTCTGGAGTCTAGACCTCTTTAATACAAGAAAGTATTTTGCTTGCTTTAGAAACTGCGGTTTAACATTGCATGCTATTATTGAGTCTATGATCTACCAACACACCCAGATCTTTCTCATTGACTCCCCCAAACATACTCCCCCTAGAGTATAGGACGCATGCTTGTTTTTAGTCCCCAAGTGCAGAACTTTACATTTATCAACATTAAACTTAATTTTCCAAATAGATGCCCAATCACACAGTGCATTCAGATCTGCTTGTAAGTTAGAGACGTCCTGTAAGGCAGGGGTGCCCATTAGGTCGATTGCGATCTACCAGTCGATCGTGTAGCGATCACTGGTAGATCGCAATGTCCGCCTTCTTTGGATCGCCGCTGCTTTCCCCCATCTGTATGCAGCGTGGATCAGAGGAAAAGTGAAGCTGCAGTCGGCGGCGGGGGACTGAGCCGCTATCACAGCAGCACGCCGAGCGGTGAGGGGAGAGAGAGCCTCTCGGCCTGGATCTGAAAGCCGGCGGCTCTTTCTCTCCTCACCACACATGCTGCTGGCTCCGTGGTTACAGCGGCTCCGTCT